CATAATAATCAATGGGGCTGCAGTCTGGGGAGTTAGGTGGCAAGATGTAAAGGCTGATGTGGCCGCAGAAATTGTCTGACAGCCATGACTGTATTCCCTGTTTGTGTCGCATAGTGCAGAGTCCTGTTGCCAGACAGAGGGTTATCCAGCAGCCATCCTCTTGAGTCATGACAACACTACATCCTTAAAGCATTGATGTATGCCTCCGTGTTGAATCTGAAGCCCTCACCGACAAATTTAGGAGTTCATTTCTTATAAAAACGACAAGAGTGAGTTTTCTATGCTGCCGTACCTTCGTAATCACCATTAGACTCATCCAGCTCTTTCCGAATCCGCTCCACTGTCTTCAGGATTCGGAAACTCTCGGATTGCCCAAACTCACTGAAATGTTCACATTGGCGCTAACGGTGCGAATGCTAAACAGTACAGCATAACTTTTTCAAATTTCTTGCGGAGTGAATTACGTCATGGTGCTCCTTTTCTCACGGACGGTGCTCAACTGATCCTGCTGTACTGTGTAGTCGACAAAATAAAAAACAAACAAACAACGCGCATGCTCGAAATTAAACAAAGTATAAAATGGCGACAATTTATCCATCGCCCCCTGTATATATGCGCGTAAATGTATGTATATATATCATGTATATATTTTGTAAATATATGGACGTGTATATATATATATATATATATATATATGTGTGTGTGTGTGTGATTGTACGTATGTGTATATATATGTGTGTGTCCGTGTCTGTCCGTGTGCGTACGAGTAGGTATTCACGTAAAATGATGTGTAAAAAGCATTATTCCTTACGGTGGTTTTAAAAATAACCGCTTGATCTGCCGAATGTCATAAATATAAAAAGCCCGTATTTAATCCTATTCTTTATTCTTCTATTAAATCCAGAAATGATAAATGCAGAAATGAAAAGAAAATCTTATATTTGTACGTAGAAATCTTGTTGAATCTTTACTCTTCTCTGTAAGTGCTAAAAATATCTTTTCCGTAATAGCACTTAATTTAAACATATTTTGGGGCTCTGCATTCCTTTGGTAGCTCACAGAATGACACGAATCACAATTTACCCACGATATTTTAATCTCTTTCTATAGTCTTTATTAAATCAAATTTAATATTGAATATTGAATATCTATAAATGTGACTGAATCTACAGTATCCTACAAAAGGGCATCAAAGCGAATTTTGAAAATCTCTAGAAACGTTCATGCGGTTTTAATGTAACTTGGCAATCAATCAGAGAGGATCTTACTGCGCATGCTTAAACAAACATTCACTCTTGGAATTACTAAGTCGGCAAGGAGACGCCATTGAGCGAGTGAACTTGTGCATTGTGTGCCCATCACATTTACAGCGAATATACATCACGTTTTACTTCATACTTGGTCATTCGTCCGTGGAAATTATCCAAAAGATAATTCAATGAGCGACACTGGGACAAAACTTTTGGAATGAGCTGGAATCCATTGGAAGCGATTCACATTCTAGAACATTTTTCGACAAGCAGAACGCACGTAATAATTTTGAACGCATATCAGTTGACAATACGGAATTAGATCCATAGACTACCTGGAAAATATGCAAAACTTTTAAATGTTTCCACTGGCCAGATTTCTCTTCTTTTTTTTTTTTTTTTTTTTTTTGAGGGATGGAGCAAAACATAGCCTTACCCAGAGTAGGTGTGGGCAAATTTTTTTTTTTTTTTATTGAGGGCCGCATCATTCTCGACCCTTTTCATTTAAATTACCAACCACCAATGGTCAGTTACTTTTCGAACACATCACTTCTCGGTATTTTGACCGGGATTAAAGTGTAGTTGAAGAAGGACGCCCGGTCCCAGTGATTCCAACCTTGCGGCAGCACCTTCCTTATTTCACCAAGAGAGCGGGAGTCGCTGTAATGTTGACGCCAGCGTGGTAGTGTTCTCGGAGACAGGGCAATTTTTGGTCTGTATGAATATTCATGTGTATGGACACCCCGCATAAAAAAACGACTTTATGTTACATCTCGCCGTAAGGAGGTTATGTAAATAACGCTTCTCTGCATTTTGACTGGGATAAAAGCGTAGCATATGTTCTCTCCTTATTTGAAATGGGAGAAGGTACCCGGTCTCGAAGATTTCAACCCTCTGACAGCACTTTCCTAATTGCATTAAGAGAGGTTTAATATCGACGCCTGCATGGCTCCGGTCGCGGAGACTGCGCAAATTTTGCCCATGGCCAAGAACTTGTGTCACATGCTGCTTTAGTAGCGAGGTTAGGTAGATAAAATCATACACACGCATCTAATTGGTACATTTACTTGATTATTAGACATGTTTGTGAACTGCACAAATGTATGAGAACTTAGTTTAATATTTCATAGATTTATTAGTTTAATGAGATTTGTGCAGCTGAGAAAAAAATCTTTTAGCATAAGAAATCTTTGATAAATCTCGCGTGACGTTTATAACGAAGCGTAGACATGATGTCATATGTTAAACCCCCAGTTTGAGTACACACAGTCCCCTAGATCCCTACGTCAGTTTACACTGTGACGATGATTGTGCACTAATATAGGTACAGTTGTGGGACGTAGCGATCATAAGGTGCCGGTGATAGTCCGTAAGGTAATATGTGGATTTTATAGAAAGTGAGTTTTCCGAGATCCGGGGTTCGCTATTGTACATTTTTAGCTTTTCGTCTTTGTTCTTTTTGTTTATGCTGTGAATGAATTACTATTGTCTAGAACATATAACCAAAAATACTAAAACTTTTTAATGAACACTTTGTTCATAATGTTTGTTACGGGCCAAATAAAATTGATCGGTGGGCATGCACTCTGCGGGCCCACCCAAGACCGAGCGCAAACCTAATCAGCCTTTGAAAGTTACAATCCGTTCGCATCTTCAGCTCGCTGATACTCATCGCTTAAAAAAAAAAATCCTGTTACATAGGAATAAAGTGTCGCTGTCGACACTGGAGTTTGAACACAGATCAACAGACAGCAAACACAGGCGATCCCATCATACTTATTATAAAACCCAGGTTGTGTGTGTATATGTGCGTGTGTGTGTGTGTGTGTGTACGTTTATATATTGGATCGGATTTCCTACATTTTTTCAACCGATTTCAACAAAACTTCATAGGACTACGTAAAATTACCTTTGCGGTGGTTCTGATAGCGCCAAAAATTGGAAAACACAATTGTTTTTGCACGAAATCAATTTGAAAACACGATTAAGAGGCATCACGAGAATGAAAGGGGACAACTCATATCGAGTTACACTTATTATAAAATCCAGGTTGTTTGTGTGTGTGTGTTCGTTTATATATGGGATCGGATTTCCTACATTTTTCAACCGATTTCAACAAAACTTCACTTTTTTTTTGGTAGGTAGTCTTTCTTATTGTCTTGCACACTTTTTCCTTTATTTTTACATTCAAAATTCCATTTACAAGACAATTGTTTATAATAAAATTCTATTCAATCGGTAGACTCATAACGATTGAATACAATGTTTTTGTTTGAGTTTGACCAATTCGTAAAAAAAAAATAAAAATAAAAATATCAAAACAAAAAAAAAAACTAATTAAGACATGCGTGTCCGTCAACCTTAAACAATAATCTTTGTCAATTTTATTTTTCAGTCTATATGATGGTCGATACTTGATCTATCTCTTACTGTTACATCCCCGGGCAACGCCGGGCTCTACTGCTAGTTTTGAATAAGTAGATCACGTGATGGCAAAGGAAATGTATTTAAGGGAATTAGCGTGGCGCCTAAGTGATCACTGTTTCTACACTATCCTCTATTACTATACGGATCGCTATTTTCTATACTATTCGCGATTTCTCTATACTGATCACTATACGGATTACTATTCGGATCACTCTTCGGTGGTTACTTTTCGAGCGAGTATTATCGAGCAAGAACTATTAGTGCAAGTGATATTCGAAAGAGTCTGACACCAAAAATGTTCAACGGCGTACTATAGTTATATCTGCGATTGCAAAGTCTCTACTACAACGAGCCTCACAAAAGTAATAACGAGTATTCGTTGACATTACAAAAGTGGCAACAAGAGTTCGTTGACATCACAAAAAATCCAAACAAGGCGATAAAGTCACAAAGACGTAAAAGGGTTACTGAGAGTGAAAGAAACTGAGAAAACGTTATTAAAAATATGACAATAAAAGAATAGGCAACAGAAGACTCTGATTGACATTGCGTTTAAATTTTTGAAGATCGTAGTTGACTGGAAAGCAAGAAGATGGAAGAAAGTTCCACAAGAGAGAAGTGCTAGTGAAGAAACAATTAGCATAGATCTTACGGTTATATCTAAGTTTGACTGATTTTTTTTCTTGACGGCTAATCAACATTTTGAAGGTTATTTAAAGCCAGAAATTAAGAATGTTTTGGGAGATAATAATAATTTGCTGATACAAATCCTACTAATTAACACATAGTTAGTTAATCCCCATGGTCAATTTGTCTTGATGTTTTCGGTCTGAGGGAAGCGATCCAAGCGTGAGGCACCCTTGGAAAGTGCCTGAATGCCATAACACGGGTTGGACCAAGTCTTGTGAATGAAATTGGGTAAACGGAACCCTACAGATCCGTCGGTGGTTGTGCTAGCACGAAGTCAGAAGTCATTTTGACTGAGGGTTTGAGTGTACTGGCCTTGTTCAGGCTGTTACTCGCGCTAAGTAGAGCGCTCTCTCCTAGAGACTCTAAGATCCGCTCAACATAGTTACAGTATATATAAATGTTTCTGAGCAGGCGTCTGTAAGGGGGATTAGCTAGTCGCCCTACTAGACTGGCATCCTCGGATTCGAGTGGTTGCGCCATTTTAGATTTTAGGAGGGAGAAGACGTGTATTCATAGCTTTCCCAATGATATCTGCAGGCATAAGTGAATCTCACAAACCCAACTGGAATTGGAACTTTGCTTTCCGATTTTCAATTCCGAGCCGTTATCGCCACCCGCACATCCAAACTTAAAGCAGCTGATATTCCAAAGCGGTCACTCATCTAGGTACCGACCTAGCTCAGTGTTGCTTAACTTCGGTGATCGTACGAGAATCGGTGTTTCAACGTGGGTTATATATAGGAGTTCAACCATAAAATGATGGTACTTTGATGTCAATCTAGTAATGCGCTTATATTCCTGAAGTCATTGTAGCAAAAAGGAAATTTGATCAGAATAGCATGAAAGTATTCATAGAAAAGACACAGGGAAGGTACATTACGGCAGTAAGAAAGTGGTTGAAGCTAAGATGCCAGGTCAGGGCCGATAACATTGCAGAGTTTGCTTGACGCAAACATCTACTACGTTCGGTACCCTCTTAAACTACACGCAATCTATTGCGTGATTCAACCACACGAACACATTGCAAGCATTATTCTCCATAAAATTCCGAAAAGACCATTTGGTACAGTTTTTCTTAAATGTCCCCGAGTCTTGATATGCCCTGCGAATTTTGGCTTTTGGCAAAGCTAAGTGGCCGTTGAAAAATGTATTTCAGACCTTGAATGAGATTATGGAGAATGTCATGAGGTAAATGATGGTGAAAGAGGGCATTGCAGGCTGTTTTGAAGTGGATGATACGTAGATAGTAAAAAGAAAAAAATAGTAAAAAGATCCGAGGAAAGAAGTATGAATGTACTTCCAGCTATCTAGATGACGTGCCTAGCAGATGATCTGTCTTCTCACCTAACCACACACCTAACTGGAGAAAAAAACTGGCCGATGCCATTCGCTACATTCAAAACTAAACTCGTAATATTACTTCAGCACCGTCAGTCAGTCAGCTGCCATGCGTGATACACGCGAAGGTGATCATATATCTTTCGATACATGACTGACGAGGCAGATTTTTCCCGCAGTAGGTTGCCATTTCTTTCTGCGGTAGACCAGTTGCAATCCAAAGCTATAGAACCCGGTCTGTCCTGCTATTTACCCATAGATGGGGGAGAAGAGGATTCATAGCTTTCCCAATTGTAATAACACGTGTGAATGTAATGAATTCGACTGAAATTCGAACTGGACTCTCCTCAATCTGGGTCGCTATCCATTAACCCACTGTGCCTCCTCCTTCAGCATTTAGTAGACCATAAATCTGCATCAATCCTGATGAATGGTCATACCCTCAAAGAGGTTCCTTACTCCGAATGCATACTACGGATAAAGCTCACCCTTGACCCCAAATGGAACGCGTATGTTCCTTTCATCGCAAAAGAAATGCTGGAAGAAAGGTCGGTTTATTGCATCTCTTCAGAAAACAGCTCTCCTGTTACCATGACCTATATTTATAAGAGTCAGATCATACCAAGAGTGGCTTATTGTTGCTATATCTGGACTGGCGCTACTCAATCCTCACTGTCCAGACTCGACAGAGTTCAAAAGCGCTTTCGCTGCCTTGTGGGCGATGAAATATTCTTCACCCTGCAACCCTTATCCTACACGCGAAAAGTTGCTACCCTTTCACTACTATATCGCGCTTACTGTGACAGATGTTTGAACAAGTTACATTCCTTAGTTCCACCACCCCTAGGCCATCACAACTAGGACCCACAATGCCTTGTTCACGGTGGCAAACCATTTACATTCCGTTCGCGTTCGTTTGACAAAAAGCAAGTTCCGCTTAGACAACTTTCTTGACAACAACCATCTTGATCTAGGGTCAACCGATATCAATCTTACTTGTCTTCATAATACTCTCTTCCTTTCCTTTCCCCACCCTTCGTACAACCTCACTAAGTAGCCCAATACCTTAAATGGCACTTGGGCCTTGTATTGGGTGAACAGTAGAAAAAATGAGTTTTCAGATTCACTGGGATTTTTATGTATAAAGGAAATATCGATCAGCAGAACCATAAGGCGAGATGGAAACGAGATGATAAAGGAATGAAAGTAGAGGTTTGAAACCGACTCCCACAAACACATAAAGAGAGAGAGAGAGAGAGAGAGAGAGAGAGAGAGAGAGAGAGAGAGAAAGGGTTAGCGGAAGAGAGAATGAAAAAGAGATAAATAGAGAATGAGAGAGAAAGGGATGAGAAAGAGAATGAAATAAAGAAAAAGAGAGAGAGAGAGAGTAAGTAAATGGAAATATGAAGAAGAAATATAGATAGATTGAAGCGGGGATTAGGAGAAACTGAGAACTAATGTGAAAGAGAAAGTGTATAGAAATATGAAAGAGATAGGCTGGTTGATAAGAAAAGGAGGAGGATTAGGACAAAGGGAGATATATAGAATCTGAGTGAGTGAGTGAGTTTAGGGAATGAGAGAAAGAGAGAGAGAGAGAGAGAAAGAGAGAGAGAGAGAGAATAAATAGAAATGAATGGAAAAGAAAATAAGACAGTAAGTAAACAGAGGGGAATGGTTAAGGCAAAGAGAAATGGAGAGAAAACCAGTGTGTGTGTGTGTGTGTGTGTGAAAAAGAAAGAAAGAAAGAAAGAAAGAAAGAGGGAAGAAAAGAGATCGATGGTTGGCTTGATGTAGTAGGCGTGAAATGTCTGGCGTCACACACACTTTCTGCCGCTTTAATTGGGGAATTGAAGACGCGCCCAAGCGGCAAATTGTTTTTCGTCTCTTTCATCCCGATTCCATTTTGTTCGCGTGATCGGAAGGATGATTTGCAGTGTGTGTATGGGAGGGGGCGGGCGTCGAGGTAATAAAATGATAAGTCTATGTAAGAAGAGGAAAAAAGTCCCAAAAAGAACCGAGAGGCAAGGCAGACGAAGAATGAGAAAAAGTAGAACTCCTGAGGAAGACAGGTGGAAAAAAGAAAGGGAAATCCGCAAAATAAGTGATTAGATTACTTATATCCAAGAAAAATAAATAGAAGGAGTCGGATTAGTAGCATAAGCTACCAAAAAACATAAAATGAAATAGAAGAAAAGGCGAATGGTAATATTAATACTAGGCATTTTCTTATAAGGAAACATTTGGCATTCATTGACCGAGCAGCCCGTTCTAAAAGGATTGGGATTTATAAAATATTTTTCTTAAAATAATTTATCAGGAAAATAGGTTTCTCATGCCCAGTAACTGTTATCGCTCTTTCCAGTATTGATGGGGGTTTCCTAGTTAACCTTTTATTTGAAGTAAAATGTTGACATCTTGATTATATCATTGTTTACTCTTCAAGTTACATTCTCTATCCATTTTACATTTTGTTGCTGTTGTTGATAGTTTTCGATTGATGGTTTTTTTTTGTTATTTGGTACAGTTCTTTGTTTGTAATGCCATTCCACGAGATTCGAACAAGGGTGGTCATCGCTGAGACCTACACGCTTCACTCGCTCGAACCGACATCGGCTACAATTCCTATGCTATCCATTTTAGTGGTTGCTCTTGTTGAAAATCCTCAAGTGAGGTGGTCCCTGTCGGGAATTGAGTACGATTCGTTTCTGTGTATATAACATGGCTGGTCTTAGCTAAATATCTGAACTGTTGGAATTATTGAACATCTGGGATAAAAATAGCGATAGGTTTGTGATGAAGGAGTTTTAGTCTGCGTAGATGCTTTTGAAATCTGTCGTGCCTGGAAAGAGAGGATTATGTAGTTTCAGCCCAGATATGGCAGCCATACTTCATTTTCGGTCTTATTTTGTAAGGATAAAACATGTCAGGAGGAGCCAGATATTTTCTGGGGCGGGATAAGATGACTATAGAGGCATGCGTCTTTATAGGTTTGTTTAAAACGTTGTTGAAGTTGAGAACATTAGAAGAAATTGAATTCAACATTTTTAGAAAGAAACATTTTCAACACTTGTGGGAATTTTACGTACACATTTTTGTATAAAGAGTAAGAATGGAAAAAGTGAGAAGATATATTAACGTGTACACAGACAGCTGAAAAGGAAGGGAAAACATTTAAGGCGTTGTTATTAGGAAATATGTGCGTTTGAGTCAAATCTAATAGGCGACCACCCGAGGCAAAGAAATTTCTCCCAGCGAGGACAAAACTTGTATTCATGCTACTACAAGCCAACCATTTTTCAGCATTAGTAATGGTTTCGATTCCGGTTGGGTACCTCATACTTGCCGCTTACACTTAGTAAATATTTAGTTGTTTGGAAAATAATGTCGGATTTAAAATCAACTTTTATTCTCGAATTAATGTATTTACAGATTGCGACAGCTATTAGGGAAATGTGGTTAAATATACTTTAATGTTTAAAAAGAATTTATTCAGTATTATTATTATTTAAGTAATAAGCCTTATAACGTAGTACAAATAGCTATATTGTGGAAAAAAGAATTTTCGACAATGTACGCATTTTTTATGTATTTACGGTTATTTTTTAACTTTTATAAAAATCGACGTATATGTAGTTATGGATAATATACATTAATTACTAATTTTTTTAATTAATAAATATTTGTGTTCAATTGTTGACATTAATAGATATCGCCAGATGTGTTAAAACTTTGGAATAATGCAATAATAAAAATTTAAATTTCATCTCCCTGATAGATGTCGCGATCTGTTAAATGGCGTTTAAATCAGTCAAAATAACGACCCTGAATATCTATGTCATCGAGTTACAAGGTTATTTATGTCTTTACGGTAAAACCTTAAAGGTTTGGAGTCCAAGAAATCTTTAAATGCAGTTTCTGCATCATCTTTGTAACGGAAGCTTTTTTGGGGGAGGGGCTTAAAAAATTGTCAAGTTGATTGAAAAAGTGGTAGTCAGTGAGTGAGAGATTAGGTGAATGTGGGGAAGTCTCTTGTCCAACATATGACCGGCGCTGGTCATGAAGCAGAATTGAATGTCGTCGATTCAAGTAATTATTCGATCAAGAAATGGATTATTCGAATTTTGTGGATGCAACATTGAACACACTTCAAAACGTCAAACTTTTTGACTTTCACCGAGTTCTATGGAACCCAACTTATCGAGTTTCTTCAACTTACCAATTTTCTTGAGATAGTCTGATATTGTTGAAATGCTGACATCCATTATTTGAGACATTTCTCTGACGGACATCCTCTGCCACATTGATTTTCAAGACTTTTATTTCCACTGTGGAACTTCAAAAACCAGCGCCATACTGTCCAATCCCAAGTGGATCTTTCACTTCATACTCTGTTAATGGTGACAGTATTATGACCAGGCATGAACCCATGCAAAAAAGTAAACATTTTTTCATGGGGTATATATTATTTGAAGTTAAATTCTGAAAGAAATTAGCATAAAATTAACAAAGAGGACACTGTGACCATTCAGCCAGTTATGTGCTATACGAGATACACGCTTTGGCAATCGCGTATCTTTCGATACATGACTTACGAGGCAGATTTTTTTCCCGCAGTAGATTGCCATTTCTTTCTGCGGTAGACTAGTTGCCATCCAAGCTATTTACCCATAGCTGGGGAGAGAAGAAGAGGATTCATACCTTTCCCAAAGGTATTAGCAGATAAGTGAATGTAATAGATTCAAGTGTAATTCGAACTCGGCTCTCCGATTCCTCAATCCGAGCCGTGCCTCTCATCAATGTATAAGATATTTTTTGTGCAATTATTATAATAATATATTAGAATCCAATTAAAAGTTTTATTCTAAAATCGGACATTATTTTCCGAACAACTTAATAACAACAGCCCCCCGCCAAAAAAAAAAAAAAATTAAAAAAAACCGTTACGAAAAGGTTGAGTAAGAAGGCAACCAAAATGAAGGTAATAAAACTTGGCACAAGCAAGCAAAGATATAAAACAGAAGACGAGAAAAGTAAGATAAGAACGGTTAGGGGTGGAAAAGAGCAGTATGTATGTGTAGCCTTAACACGGATGTTAGTGCTTCGAAGCGTAGATTTGGTCGCACAAGAAGGAAGAGATTATTCTTTCTGTCACCCACACTACCACCCATCGGTCGATTATTCGAAGAGGTGTGTAACTTTTGTGACAGAAGCCATCAAACAGATGTGATACCAGGCGTGAAGTGCTTTCTGTTCGAGCGGAAGTGAGTACCTTGTTTGACAGGAAGCACCTAGTTGTTGTGACTGTTGGAGTTTACGCACATGCGTGTGTGTAAAGTAACGCGTCACGTTTGTGCAAGAGAAATTCGCTAAGTGCAACGGTGAGTTTAAAGTTATTATGGAAGGTTGTACATTGCCAAACACAAAGTTAGTCTAACCGTTTATGAAATCTGTTCAAAACAGGTTTAGTGTTTTGAACAGAGATCTGGGGAATCGGAGATTTATCGCTATGAAATTTTGCTCTCTCTCTCTCACACACACACACACACACACACACACACACACACACACACACACACACAAAACACACACACACACACACACACACACACACACACACAAACAGAGAGAGTATACAGATTGCCTTCAAAATTCGTTCCGTTTATTAAATTAAGAAAAAAATTGTTTTAAAAATAAATATTGACATTATCTTTATTGCAATACATCTGTTAGGTCATATATGCCCACCTGTATTGCGGTAAATGCTAAGCAATCTCCTGAAAGAGGAAAAAGAGAGTTTAAGCGTCAGAAGTGTGGTTCTACAGAAGGATGCAGAGGGTATCGTGGACCGAATATGTGAGCAACGATAAAGTTTTGGAGAAAATGGAAAAAAAAGGAAACTTAACATCAGGAAGAGACAGTTGAAATTTCTAGGTCACATAATGAGGAAAGAGTGCTTGGAAAATCTGACACTCACAGGATAGATTGAAGGCAAGTAGGATAGAGAAAAACAACGCATAACCTATCTGTGAGCTTGCGTACATGGACCGTGGAACAAGGTTAAGGAGAAATAACAAAAAGTCAAAATTTATTAAGAGTTACGAAGGATAGGAAATCGTGGAAAGCCATGATCACTACGTCCTGAATGGACACGGCACATAAAGAAGAGATTATTTTATTTCACTCTTCGCTGCTATTTTTCGGATGTCTTCATGATTCCATCCTCAGAGAACATTTTTTGAACAAACAACACTTTCATATATCCCGCACAGTCTTCTGGAGAATTCTATTTTTTTTTCATCAAGAGACTCCAGTAATCACCACCACATTCATTACCATCATCATCAATATCTTCATCACCATTGTCATTAATTATTCTTATTTTTATTCCATCTTAATTATTCTTAATTATTCATTTTTATTTATTGTTAATAATTGTTTCTTAATTATTCTTGATTATTCATTCTTAATTATTTTTAATTATTTATTCTTAATTAATATTCCTTCATAATCATAATCATTCTTAATTATTTTTAATCATTATTCATTCTTTACTCTTAGTTATTCGATAATTGTTAATAATTCATAATTATTTTAAATATATTCGAATTATTATTAATTTCTTAATTATCCTTAATTATTTATTCTTAATTATTATTAATTTGTAATTATTCTTAACTATTTTTTCGTCTAAATTAATCTCGATTATTTCTTTTCGATTATTATACATACCATATTATTTTTGTTTTAATCATTTTACTCCAAGCAAAGTGATAAAGTTACTAAAACGCAAAGGATTACAGAGGTGGAAAGAAATCAACAAAACGTTAGAATATTAAAAGGATAGAATCCAAAGCGACAAAAGATTATGATTGAAGTTACATTTAAATTTTTAAAAATCCAAGAGGTCAAGAAACCAAAAGAGACTTCCACAGGTGAGGAATGCAAGAGAAAAAACGATTAGGAGAAAACTTACACTTATACAGAGCAATTTCAAAATAAAAATAACGAGGCTAAAAGCTGTTCTTAAATTCATAAAGTCAATGTACCCTAAACGAAAGCTCTTCATGATTATTCATTCTTAATTATTTTTAATTTTTTTTTCTGAATTATTATTCCTCCTTAATTATCCTTAATTATTATTCTTGATTATCATTCTGTCTTCATCATTCTTACTTTTAATTATTATTCCACCTTAATTATTCTTAATTGTCTACAGTTATAAATTATTCCATTGTTTTTAATTAAGAATATAAATTTAAAATATCGTACACTTCTCTTTGAATATCTTTTGAAATTTTAAATTGAGGTATTGCTCTCGTCTAATAATTGTTTTTAACGAACATCCACATCTTTCTTATTTTTATTTCCACTTTAGCAACTGTATCCGGAGGTGGGGGGTGGGGGGGTTGTCTTTCTCAGATGTCCGTCACCTGGCGATGTTAAAAGTTTCTTTATTTCGTCTATTAAGTTATATTTCCATATTTTGTGACAGATAGCCGTAGCCGAAAAGCTGTGGTAAAAGAAATAATTGTAAAGATGCATCTTCGAAAGAGAATTTGTAATTCATTATAATTGTCTAAATCCATTTTCTGCCAATTAGCCGAATAAATATTCGGGCGCCTATCGTAGCGTTATGGTTTAGTAAGCATGTTAATTCACTAGTGTAATGAATTCTGTCCTTATTGGGCGCTACCACTGATGGAGCTTTGTGGCAGACTAAGCTCCGCCTAATGAGTATTAAATAAATGACGGTTATTGAGGAATTAAGAGGCGGAATAAAGTTCAGATAAATAAAGCGCAGTAAGAAATAAAAAAAAGATAAACAAAGAAAGAAAGGAAGAATGAATGAATGAATGAAGGAAGGAAAGAAGGGAGGAAGGAAGGAAATCATTATGCAATGTCACCAGTCAGTATTAAAAATGAATGAATGAAATAGGAGAAAGAGAGAAAGAAACAAAGAAAAAGAGAGAAAGAAACAAAAAAAGAGAGAGAAAGAAACAAAAAAAGAGAGAAAGAAACAAAAAAGAGAGAAAGAAACAAAGAAAAAGAGAGAAAGAAACAAAAAAAAAGAGAGGGAAAGAAACAAAAAAAGAGAGAAAGAAACAAAAAAGAGAGAAAGAAACAAAGAAAAAGAGAGAAAGAAACAAAAAAAGAGAGAGAAAGAAACAAAAAAAAGAGAGAAAGAAACAAAAAAAGAGAGAAAGAAACAAAGAAAAAGAGAGAAAGAAACGGAAACTAAGAAATGGACGGTCTTTTTGTCATATCCACGACGTTTCGGTCAGTTTCCATTGACAGAGAGTATTAAATTGAAAAAAAAAAAAAAGAAAGAAAAGGAGGAAGAAATAAAGAAAGAGAGAAAGAAAGTGTTATATACTGTACCTATGAACATTAATGGGTATATCCCAATCCACATAAATACATTGGACAATATGTTGTCTAAGTAGTCCACCACTAGCAGTGGTTTACCTACTTCACGCCGCTGGCGAGTATTATATTTTTTTGATGTTATAAAGATGACCATTTCATTTTCAACCTCCGTTTTGGTTATTCCTCACTCAATAAACTTTTCTATATTACAACAGAAAGAAAGGACAACATTGCGTAACGTCAACAGAGAATATTAAAAATAAATAAAAGAAAGCAGAAAGGGAAAGCGAATATGTAAAATATAAATCAGAATCAAAAGAAAGTAGAAAAATGACGGGAAAAATACAGAAAAAAAGAAAGACCAATTGAATGAAATAACGAGAAAATTATTAAAATGAAAGATGACAGGAAGGCATAAAGGAAGAAACAAACGTCTATAAAAATCAACAAAAGAGAAAGAAAATGTAGAAAATATCGGAAAAATACGGGAAAAGGGAACAAAAAGAAAATTAATCTGACGACAAGACAGTTTTTAAAAAGAAAGAAAGAAAGCTATAAAAGTGTATAATAAGAATAGAAAGAAAGTAAAAACAGTATGGAGAAAAGACGGGTAAAGAAAGAAGCGAAGAAAGGGAGACAGTAAAAGAAGACAGTAAAAAAGATAGTAGAAGAAAAAAAGAAAGTAGAAACACTCAACAAAATGGCGGAAATACTAAAAGTGTGAAGATTATACAAGGAAGAAGAAAAGAAGAAATGAAAGAGAGAAGAAAAACGAACAGAAGATGGAGATTTACGCTCTGGAAGAAAGAAAACGAAAAAGAAATCTTAGGACAGTCGTGCAAGATTAATGCATGGACGCGCTCGGCTGAGACAATCTGTCTTCCATGAGTTTTCATTCTCATGTTCATGTTTATTCAGAAAACAACATAGATATTTCCATAAAATCCTCATGCTGATAATCATAGCATCTTAGCAACATATTGCCATGATGAATGAAGATCTGAAGCAGGCCATAGTTTTTTTTTTCATACACACGCGGGCACATACAGCGTCCTCTTCTTCTTCTTCTTCTTCTTCTTCTTCTTCTTCTTCTTCGTTTATGTTCCGTGTCCCATCATGACACCAGCAATCATAGCTCTCCACAATTTCGCGTCCTTTGTATCTCTTAATAAATTTTGTTTTTTTATTATCTCTCCTAAGAAGAGTTCCCCCATCCATTTACTCAAGCTCGTTATGTAGATTATACGTTGCTTTCATCTGCCCATTTTGCCTTCAATCTGTCTTATATGTATAAAATTTTCCAAGCCCTTTTTCAAATGTAGGTTATGTTTTATTTTCTTCTATCTCTCTTGCTTTCAATTTGCCTTGTGAGTATAAAATTTTCCAAGAATTCTTTCAAATGTCGGTTATACGTTTGTTTCCTCTGTCCCTCTTGCCTTCAATCTGTCCGGTGAGGATCAAATTTTCCAAGCAGCCCCCGCCCCCGATATTTAATCTGTCTCTTTTTGGTGTTAAGTATAAGTAATTTTTGTTTCCATTTTCTCTAAAACTTCATCGATTAATAGAACCAAATTTCTTTTTCATCTCCGAGGAAATTAACTAGCATTCACTGCCGTATCAGAAGACTGATATTACATTGACTTTGTTTCTAACGATTTTTTTTCTGTTTCTTAATAGATTTCTTAGCCTTTGGAAGGCATGTTTCGCAATCCAAATATCTAAATATTTCTAACCTCTGTTAAAGCACTTCCCTGATATTTAAATTTACATAATTCACACAAAGGCATGCACATTCCTCCATATATATATATATATATATATATATATATATATATATATATATGGAGAGATATGCTTCAAGCCAGGATCGAAACCCGACCGAGTTTCTACCCCTGAGCTACCAGCGCACGGAACAGAGAAGGGGAAATTCTAGTGTATTATTTTTACGAATGTAAACAAACGCCAGACAGCCATAGTGCTCGATTCATTTTTAATGAAGAGCGTTGTGTTAACGGATACAGTTGCTGTTTAGAATTATCCCCTCTCTCAACAGTGCTCAACCAAAATTATCGAGAGCATAATAATTCCATCCTATAACCTATATACCATACCTTAGAACTATAACCTATATACCATACCTTAGAACTATATTTTTATATATATATATATATATATATATATATATATATATATATATATATATTGCTCAGAGTATCAGGGATAGAGTGTATGTAAATATAAAAGTGGACATTGAAATCAACACCCAGCGGTGAGAGACTGTTTCGTGTTTAAGCGCCATCTTCAGGCAATGTGTGTTTTGTTTTGTTTCGACTATTTATATATCCTGGTGAATGGTGCATTATGGGTAGGTATATTTAATTATTCTAATGGTTATTGGGTGAAGGGTAACGGTTATGTTTCAAATTATTCTACGGACGATTGAGTAGAAATAATCATAAAAATTTTCAAAAATATAAGATTCGACATAGACATAAAAACTAACCTAAAACAAATATATTTTCTAGATGCTACATTCAGTCTAAGAAAAGGTAACCCATTTTATATACACTCATATTTTCACCACCAGCCATCAAGCAGATCAAGAAAATCACACAATCAATTAACCATAGGTTATGTGACAATTCTTCCGGTGAATCCATCTTCAATGAAACCAAGGAAGATTATGAAATATTCCTAAAAGATAGCAGAATTTGAGCAACACTCGCATACACCACACACAAAAAAAAGCCAACAGGAAAAGAAACATCATATCGTTCAACCCACCGTACAACAAAAACGTAAAAACAAACGTAGGAAAAATCTTCATTAAACTCATGTGACGGTTACACACCTGGCCCAGTGTCGGATCCTTTGGTTACGGCGCCAACGGTGACGTCGCTCCTCCTGGTCGCTCCTCCTGGGTCCAAGCGTGCCGCTCCAACCCTTTGGTCAGATGATCACCAGCCTCGCCTTTCCCGACTCGCTTCCAATACCTGGTCACTAAAGCAACTATACCGATCTCCGGTCTGTCTACCCACGCTGTGTTTAGATCTTAGACAGACGGGACCAGCAGGGATCGGGGCCGATACAAGTTGAGTCCGACGGGGGTGGCAAAACACAAATAAAATAAAAACTCACGACACCAAACAAAATTGCTGATAAAAAGGGTAACAACCTTTTATATCTTAAAGTCCGTTACATAAAAACAAAAGTGTTCTCATTTCCCGACCCGCTCTGTGGACTATGGCACCAAGCTTCTATCACACAATAGAAAAATGTCGAATTACCTACTTTCTAGAATCATGTATGTATGTCGGAGTGTGGTTCAGTTCGACACTGGGGCTAATTTCTATCGATCATTCGCAGTTGATTCTTCTCTCCGACTTGAGTTGTATTTCTTCTTCTTCGTCTGCTTGGGCTGGTAGATTTCTTGTTTCAACCCAGTGGAAGATTTCTTGCTTCGATTCAGTGGAAGATTTCTTGCTTCGATTCAGTGGAAGATTTCTTGCTTCAATTCGGTGGAAGATTTCTTGCTTCAATTCGGTGGAAGATTTCTTGCTTCGATTCAGTGGAAGATTTCTTGCTTCAATTCGGTGGAAGATTTCTTGCTTCAATTCGGTGGAAGATTTCTTGTCTTCAACTTGGGCTGGAAGGATTTCTTGTTTCGAGGATTCTTCTGTCGTCCGAGGTGAACTGCAACTCACGCCCAACCTAACTCCAACTTCAACTCAACTTCAGCTCCAACCCTTTTCTGCCGACTGGGGTCCTGCTTATATTGACGCCGCAACAAACCGGGGTGGGTCGGTCGGCGTCAGGGGTTTCTCGATAATTTCAAAAGCCGTATTAATTTTGACTTTCCATTATCGTTATTGTTTTCACCCCTACTTTCTCACAGTGCTCTTGGGGGGGCGGCGCATATCTATTTCTCTTAGTCTCTCTCATGTCAGGTGATCGCTCTCAACCAATCGTTCCCGATCGAACCTTTCTTTCTCTTCTTTTCCGCAGCCCACGTGACCGCCTCGTCCAACAGTTATTGATCGAGGTTTTCTTTCCTTCTTCTTCCGCGGTCACGTGATTGTATTCGACCAATTGTTATTGACCGAACACCCTCTCCCTTTTGTTGGCGGGTGTGGTTACATCGTGCTGGTTTAAAAAAAACAAAATCCGATTTCGCACCTTTTTTGCACGTACGCAAAATGACAATCCTTGCCCTCTCTCACCTGGACTTTGTCAAACAGCCCGCTGCTAATTAGTCTTGACTTTTAGAAAGGATCTTTTCCGCCTTCCTGGCGCCCTCCGTGGTCCAAAAACAATTGCTCTTCTTTTTACCTCTTTGTTTTTCCTGATAGCCGAGAATCTTAATTATCTGGGTCGAAATATCTCTACTTTCTTAACGTGGGTGTCCAATTCTTAACAGGTCAATTCCGTATATCGTTTTCACCAGTCACTTCCCCAACCCAAAGACACTTTCTCTCTGACTAAAGTAAAATTCATTTCTATTATTCTAATTTAAAGTTACCTTTCGTTATTTTGATAAGAATTCTTCTACGACAATGTCGGTCAGCGCTCGCGACCGATATCTCCAATTCTATTCTTTCAACAAAATTAAGGTCAGTCAGAGGCTCTGACCGACATCTGGTCCACACCAGCGGCCTGTTTTGATATCATGTCTTTTCCTTTCTTTCCCCCTTTTGTTATTATCTTTCCTTTCTTCCTTTTTCCTTTCTTTCTTTTTCCTTGCTTTAGGATCGTTTAGTACATTCTTAGTGAATTATTTTCAACCCAGTTATTTTCCGTTTTAAAGAAAAAAAATTAACAACCTGTTTAATAAACTGAATAAGGAAAAATTAACTCATATTTCTATGAATATTTCCAATAAATGCAAGGTGCCATACTCATACACAAACGGATCAAGCACTTTCCACGAGAAATTCAACAAAAATACAGTAAATATCAGCTACAGTTGCACCAAAAAAAGGAGATAAACAATAAAAAAAAAAAAAACACAACAGAAAAAAAAAAAAACAACCGCACAAATCAAATCAAACCAACGTCTAAGTACAGGGCAAAGAACGAATGTCCCTTAAACGGCAATTGCTTGCAGAACAAAGTAATATACCAAGCCACTGTAAAATAATAGGAGTAACTGAAGAACCCCTGCAACAAAGAAACTATGAAAAGAAAACATCCTTTACAAATAGTAAATCTGCGAACAGCACAATGCTTTCTAAAAATATATGGGAAATTAAAAACAAAAACTAAATTAAACCAAAAATATCATGGAAAATAAGGATAGAACATCAACCTACAGCACTAAATCCAAAAACTGCAAACTCTGTCAGAAGTAGAAAATAGTTATAATTACCTTCCCAGACTAACACAAATTACTAAATAAACGATCAGAACTCATCTCAAAATGAAGACACGAAAACAACTTTTTACTATGTTACTTAAAAATCGAAGACTAAAAGCGAACATGAAAGCATGAAACAAACTCTCACCGCTGGGTGTTGACCTCATTGTCCACTTATATATATATATATATATATATATATATTAAGAAATGGACATGGTCCGACAATTTATTTATTAAAGACATATTTTTATGTTTAACGTTGTTATTTTATAGATACAAGTATTTAAGCAAATGCTCTGTTTATGATAAACAGTATTAAATAACATTTACCGGCCTGAATGTCCGAGAAATTTTCATAGAAAATTTTCGTTCTTTGACAGGATTCGAACCTGCATCCTATACGGAACCGTCATATACGCTGACGTGCCTTTACCGCTTGAGCTACAAAGAACCAATCGGTAGACAATGTTAAATGTTATTTAATACTGTTTATCATAAACAGAGCATTTGCTTAAATACTTGTATCTATAAAATAACAAC